AAAATAACTGTGCAGAAATATTTCGTGACAAGCATCAGTTACTGCACATTAAAGCAGTAACATAGACCAACGCACCCAGCAATTCAACTTTCATAACATAGAAGAATTATGCATTATAGCAACACACTAAGCATTGCATAATCATGTATTAAAACTATTTAAAGCCCTACATGAAGCGACCAGAAAAGTATTGAGACTAGGCCTGGGCCGATAATCAATAAATCAATTAATAAATTAAAATGAACTCGATAATTTGTCCGGCCTCGATATATCGCCATGCGCATGCGTGTTTGTTTTCCTCGTCTCTCGCCTCCAAGCAGGCTGGATGACAAGAGGGTTCACTCTGTGCTCGGTCTCAGCACCTGGGGGCGTATGTTGCGGAATAAACGGAGTGAACCCTCTTGTCAGTCATCCAGCCTCTTTGTCTCTGTGGGGGGAGGCGGGGCGGCTAGTAGTGGCTCCACACACAGAGTGCAGAAAGTGAGCGTCGTGCGGAGCAACGTGAGGAAGAAAGATGATGACTGCTAAGCCAAATGCCACAGCCCCAGTGTGGGAGTATTTTGGCTTCAAAGCGAACGAGCAAGGTGAGCCTATAAACACGGACGAGCCGGTGTGCCGACTGTGTTCCAAAGTGGTGGCAACAAAAAAATGGGAATACAACAAACTTACATGCCCACCTAAGGCATAACCACCCGACCCAGTTTTCCCAGCTGGAGAAAAAAAGTGCCCCTCAGGATGCAGATGCTTCGTCTCGACAGTCTACACTCACTGAGGCGTTTGGTCGACAAAGCAAATACAAACGGAACAGCGCAAAATGGTGCAAGCTCACAGATAGTGTAGTTCGCTACGTCGCTAAAGACATGCTTCCATTTAACACAGTTGAAAAGCCAGCATTTAGAGAAATGCTGCAAACATTTGACAGACAGTAAGAATTGCCTGGTAGAAAATACATGTCACAAACGGCAATTCCAGAACTTTACAACAGAGTGAAAGATGACACATTGAAGGAAATCAAAGACATCGCATTTTACTCTGCCACTACAGATATGTGGTCAAGCTCAAACATGACCCCCTACATGAGCTTGACCATACACTATATAACTGCTGACTGGACCCTGCACTCCAAGTGTTTAGAGACCAGATATGTCCCTGATAACCATACTGCTGACACCCTTGCAGAAAACCTTAAGGCAGCTTTAGCAGACTGGGGACTGGATGAGAACAAACTAGCCCGCATCACTACAGACAATAGTGCGAAAATTGTAGCTGCAATAAGGAATCTTGGCTGGCCATGGCTTAATTGCTTTGGCCACAACCTCCATCTTTCTGTGTCCCATGGTCTGGACAGCGACAACGATCGGACAGCCTGTGCCATAGGACTCTGTAGAAGTTTGGTCAGCATATTTCACATGAGCTGGATAAAGAAGAGAGACCTGAGGAAGGCACAGGCTGAGGCCAATTTCCCCAAACAGAATCTAGTGCTGGTGAGTGATGTTTAATTCATTGATATATATAATATATAAACAAAATAATTATTGTACTAATTATTAATGATAAATAATGGAAATGTAAAAAGTAATATTTCTTTAAGACTGCTGATGTAGACCAACCAATGAAAAATAAAAAATAGGCCTATTATTTTTCCCACAGGATACTGCCACACGATGGGGCACTAAGCAGAATATGGTAGAGAGGGTGCTGGAGCTGCTCCCAGCCATAAGACGTGTCCTGGTTGAGGACAGAAAACATGGCCACCTCAACCCAACCTGGCAGGATGTTTTTGTGTTGGAGTCCATCAACGCAGCAATGAAGCCACTGGCTGACTTCACATATGTCCTCTCAGGGGAAAAATACATCACAGTGTCCTCAGTTAAGCCTGTACTGGAACTGATTAAAGGTGAATTTCTCTCTCCAGGACCCAATGACACTGCACTGACATCCAATGTTAAACAAAACATGTGCAGGGTAATGACTGAAAACTACAGCTCACCTGCAATCCAAGTCCTCCTGAGAAAGGCCACCATCTTGGATCCAAGATATCGTGGCACCATGGAGGAGGCAGAGGCATTGGATGATGTCAAACATCAGTTTGTGCAAGAGCTGCTGGACTTAAAAGAGCCAGAAGGAAGTGGAGAAGGTACCAGTGGTGAGAGCTGCAGCACAGCTGCTGCTAGAGGAAATGAGGATGAACCTCCTGCACCCACAAAGAAGAGGCTGAGTGACCTTCTTCAAAACAGAAGAGCTCACCTCACAGGTCATTCCCAGGCTGCAGTTCCAAAAAGAGTGCAGGCTGCTGTAGAGCTGACCAAGTTCCTCCAGGAAGATACACTTGATGCATCTTCTGATCCCTTAATGTGGTGGCGTGACAATCAAAGAAGATACCCTTTGATGGCTAAGTTGGCACAAAAATACATGTGCATATGTGCAACAAGCACCAGCTTGGAGAGAATGTTTAGCACAGCTGGCAATATTGCTACTCCAGAGAGATCCTGTCTTAAGCCACACAAAGTCAACATGTTGGTTTTCCTTGCTCGGAATCTGCCAAACTAAAGTAGCTACAGATTTGCATATGCAAGTGTTTGTGTTGTTACTCTGCACTTTTTGTTTACAAAGGTCCTAACTGGATTGACAGTGTTACCTGTTATGGAATGTACAACTCTATACCTCTGTGCCTAAATGTTCAATATTTATTTAAGTGCAATTTTATTTGTGGAGACTTTATAAGCCATTTTATTTACTTTTTTGGTTGTGGTTTTATATTTGAGTGCTGTTTTTCTTAACAAAGACGGGGTCTTTTTTATTGTTTTTGGTTGTGATTTTTATTCAATGCAATTCTTGCTAACAGAGAGTGAGAGTCCATTTTATTTTTTGTTTGTTTTATTTATTTAGGATATTTAAATGTTAAATTACAATTACAATGGTAAAAAACACTCAGAAATAAAAGTTTATTGTATTTGAAAAGGGTGTGCATTATTATTATATATTATCATGTTGACAATAATATCGTTACTGCAATAATTTGTGGGACAATATATCGTCCAGCAAAATTTGTTATCGTCCCAGGCCTAATTGAGACAGAAGTTACATTTAACACTTAATATGACGACAACATAACTCACCATAAGGTATAATTATGGTGAGTTTGATAGCATATCTAATTATCCAGTTATCCAAATATCTGGATCAATAAGACAGGGCTCATCCACAAAAAGCTGTCTACCAGCTCTCTGTTAGGGCTGCTTGTTGTGAACAAAGGATCTGTTCACAAAATATAGTTAACAACCATACATATCTACACTAGACAGCTACATAACTGGGCTAAAACACCAAATTAACGATTTGATAAATAAAGAAATGATCTGTATTTATATAGTGCTTTTTTAGTCATGATGAGTGCATCTGTGGGCAGCTCTTATTCTATGAGGAGCATTTTGGGGTTCAGTATCATGGACAAGAATAAGCTCTACCCCCTCAAACACAGCCAATTTCAGTATGTGAGACAGTAAAACAGCTTTTAATTCAAGAGATGAGGAATCACCTGATACCTAACATAAGGTATTCACCTGCAGACAACATAGACAGTCAACATTTTAAACAGATTTAAGTCAGTTAAATGAATCCGTGCATAATAACATCTGTATATCATTTGTTATTTTATATCCAATTAGAAAACCAAAATCGGTAAATTAGAAAACAAGTTATTATTTCGTTATTCATTTATGAATCCGATACCAAAAAACAAAAAATGGTTTGTTTTTTGTAGTTTGGACTTTTGCTCAGATCAAAAATAGGAAA